ATTTGGATTTAACCACTTGTTGGAATTCATTTAAAAGTAATACCAATTTTTCATTGTTCCCTTAAATTAAATTATTATCATTAATCTCATGATTTTTATTATCATTAATCTCATGATGATTTTTAATAATCCTTTATAGTACCTAAAAGTGGTGATTATTTTGGACTACAATTTGTAGAACCAAAATCATATAACAAAGTTACTATTGTATCTTCAAAAGATATTAGTAATTTTGATGCATCTTTTACTGTTGAAGTTTCTTCTGATGGATATAACTGGGTAACTTTAAAATGTATTTTATTTATTAATTGTTTATATTGTCGATTTATAACATGATCTAAAAATATCTTTTTAGAATATTTGCGATAAACTTGAATCTTCATATGAAGCTCAAGACTATGATTCGGTTGATAATATCGTAGCCATGGATTTGGATTCGGCTGATATACCAAAAAGTAATATGATCACCATGGATTTTAAATGTTTTGAGGATGAAAATAAAAATAACCCCGTTAGTTTTATAAAATTTAAAGCTACAAGAAATTTTAATGAACCTTTTGAGATATGTTCTTTTATTTTAGATGGATTAAGCATATAGAAAATTAATTAATTATATTATACTTGTTCATGAGATAACCATTTTAATTTATAAGCATGTAAAAAATGAAACATTGGTGAGATGAGATATTTATTATAATCATGTTATAGAATTCATTTTTTAAAGAATAATAAACCATTCAATAATATGTAATAACATTTCAATTAATTAAAATACAAGGTATTTATCCCGTTAAAAAAAAAAAGTTAATTACGAGATTTTTATAGCTGTCTTAAAATACTTAGAATAATATAATATGTTTCTGGTCCATATTTACTATATAATATCCCAAAAATTGCTCCTGCTAAATGTGCCTATATTTATGAGATAATTGATGAAATATTAACGTTAATTAAAAATGTTTAGAAATATATAAAAATACGTATAAAATTTTACAAATATGTATTATACTTACAAAATGATCAAACATTCTCAGTCCAGATATTATGCCAAATAAATCAAAAGCCATAAGCGCCGGAAGTGCATACCCAATTTTTATAGGAAAGAATGGAAGAAATATCAAATATACTGATGCCTCTGGATATACCATGGCACACGCGCCTAGACACGAAAAAATAGCCCCTGAAGCTCCCAATGAACCTATTATTTGCTTCTGATTCTTAAACATCAAGGACAATACGTGGCTTGCGCTTGAAGATGCTATTCCTGAACTAATATAAAATGCAAGAAATTGTTCTTTACCTAACATTCTATAAACTACTCCACCAAAAGACCATAATGCCATCATGTTAAACCCGAAATGCCATGCCTCTTTATGACTAAAAACTGATGTTAGTAAAGTAAACATTCGACCAGATAATGGATGATGAACAAAATATTTTTCCATTAAGCGTTGAAATGGTGTTAATTGCCACATTCCAAAAATTATAGCATTGATCCCAATCAATGTTAATAACGTTTTATCGCTATCACTTAATGAACGCCATCGTCTCGTTATAAGTGCTACGTTCCTTTCAAGTTCTATATAAAGGTCCGAATCCTGTAACTTTTTGAATGGTTGACTAAATACTCTTTTGACCCAGTTTGGAATAACAGACGTCTCCTCCATACTATTATATTGTACTATTAGAGTTCTTCTGTTAGTCCTTCGTTTATATTCGGAATAAGTCAAGGCAACTGCAAAGGTTGTGCCCGACGTGAAGCATGCGAATAAAATAGGTTTAACAATTGACGGTCTATTATATAATCCCGCGCGAGGTATATATGTTCGATTTGGTAAAGAAAATCGTAATTTCCATGATAACTTTTGTGTATTAGTTAATGTAAATAAAATATTGCGAGAAACAAAGAATTGTTTGCTGTTTTTTAATGGGAAACGCCACATTTTTTAAATGAAACCTTTTTTTTAGGGAATTATTTTATACTTCCATAGCACTATGGTACTAGGGTATTATAGCCAATTAAGATTAGGTGTAACATATAAATCAGGTTTTTTAAAAACATCAAAATCATGTGGGTGTTAAATTCTGCGCTGGAGGTTATGTCCAAAAAATTTTACCATTTCGTGTAACCGGCCTCCGGACCCAATTAATTATGCCCGAAAATTACCAAATTTTAGCGAATTTTACTAATAAATGTCGCGAAATCAACATTTTCTATTCAACCTTCTAACCTTCTAAAACCCACTTATACTTGTTTAATATATTTTACTCTAATCCTAACTCC